GACGTCACAATTCTTGCACACCGTGACTCATGCAGGGGCACAATCCCATGCTACATGCTATAATGCGCTTGGTCTGTCGTTCAGGATTGTCACAGAATTATCTACATCTCGGATATCCGGATGGAGAGACCGGGTCAAGTGTAAGATGAGTGGACCATGTCTCGAAAAGGAAAAAGCACACCAGCTAAGCGGAGCCCCACTCATATTGGGCGTAGTGTGCATCAAAACGAGCAGTACTGAGACAAAAATTTCAAACTCGATCCAAAAACAACCTAGAAACCGCGAGCAGAGGATAGAAGTGTACACTAATAAGTCAGATGCAAATAAAGGAGGCCTAGTCTTCAACGGTAGGCGTTCTCTAAAAAAGCAGTGCTTTATGAAAAGTCCATAGCTCGGTTTGGAGAAAGTCTACAGAGCTCAAAAAGAATTGGATTAGGGAAGCAAACGGCCCTTTGAGTACCAAAAGGGTCCCTGGTTCGATTCATCGTGGTGACAAAGTTTAGCATCTGAGATTGACGTGGTCAGTGACGGTCCTAACTATGAATATGACAGTCACAGTTCGTGCTAACTCCATTTTGCGCGGATTTTGAAACGTCAATTCGAAATGCAAAGGGTTGCCACCACGAGGAATCGAACCAGGGACTCCTTTTCTGGTACTCACAATCAGATAGCCGTTAAGGAGAAATTAACCATGGTTGTGGTTCCCGCATGCGCATATAATGCAAAAGGCCGTTGTGAAAAAGACTCGCCCTTCCAAAAGACTTACCTGGTAAACTGTTCTCATCATACATGACGTGAGCGAAAGCCCGCCCACAACGGGCGGAGCGTGTCCTGAAGTGGACAGCGTTCCCTACAAGTTCCCATAATTCGGCTGTGAAAAGGCTCAGAGAGCGGAGGAAAGGCGGATGGAGTTTAGAGAAGGAGGGGAGGTTGAATGTTAACGGTGGGCGCGGTGTGCAAAAGTGGGCGTTATAACTCGATTCATAGAGTGCCAGAGATCCGGAAAAAGTGGATAGATGCGGGTGAAGGAAATGCGGTCAACTACTGCTGGTGAGCGTGGCGTGCACCGAAGTGGGCGGATTTTGCCATAAAACTTCACAATTGGATCAGAGACAGCCCGGAGAATGGGGAAAAAGGCCGAAGTTCGCGAAGAAGAAAAGTTGAAATGCTATTGGTGGGCAGGGCGTACACCGGGACAAACGGTGTTCACCACGCAATTTATAAATCGTGTGGGAGGCAGTCGAAATCGGGAAAGAGTGTACAATGTTTGAAGGAGGAGGCAACCTGGCCAAATGAAATGATGTGCACATTACTATACGCAGCATGAGACGCTGAGCTCGAACCTGCTTTCATTATCTGCTGAACTTTGAAAAGAACGACGGAGGGTTTTTGTTGCCGCCCTTGATTTTCGGTGTCTTGCCTGCAATCATAGCTCCATTATGGAAGTCTCGAAGAAAGAACCGAACAGGCGATGTGGCGAGCGGTAGCGCAGTTGGTAGCGGTCTTGCTTCTCAAGCAAGGGTTTACGGGTTCGGTTCTTGCCCGTTGGTCTTTTGCTTTTTCCAACATAGCTAGAAAGCCTTTCTAAATCCCTTATATTATCAATGGTTGCCCCACGCTACACATACAAAGAGCTTGCAAGCAAATTCTCTTAAGCTCGAGTCTAACAGACAAGTAGCGCTCGAGCTTGAGAGAATGCACCTGCACTACGTGCACATGGTGCCCGTAGTGCATACCAGGCTTTCCCTTGGCAAGTAGGTGCGATATTCACATTCAGAGGATCAAAATACTCCTAAAAACGAGTTTCTCGCCAAACCTGAGGTCATGAATAATTGAGAAAAAGCGGAGCACTGATGGGATTACCACTCCTCAAACTCCGCATTTTTGGACTGACCAATCATAGTCGACGGGGGAGAGGAAAAAGGGGTTGTGATAGGGAATAATGCCTTGCATATCTTCGGATGATGCTGACGGGCAAGCCAGACACACTTTTGCCTATTCTGAAGAGTGTTTCGAAGGTTTGTTCAACCCCAGTGCCAGGCTTTTGTAATGGAATGGTGGATGAGCGAATAAGTGACTGCGCGAATTTTCAAGGTTAGGTCAAAATTTCAGAATTGCTAGAAGTTTGCTCAAAGGGAAAGTCCGACTCCCTGATTACGAATTCATAGTTGTTCGAAGCAAAAATGCCTGGCGCCCGCGCTCCAAGCGTCTAAACTAGTGAGGAGCGAAGCCGCCCAAGTTCGTTATTAATTGCACTTAACTTCCTTATATGGTTAGCTATACGCAAGCATGTTCAATCACCGATGGGGGATCTTCCTAGCTATCTTACTGCAAACGGCAAAAGAATAAGCTCGCCAAGGAGTCGATCCCCGACCTCTTTTTCATGATCCTCGACCACTGCCTCTGTGCTTTTCTGCTTCATAATTCCTTTCAGAGAAGAGTTCAGCAGATAATAAACGCATATTTGAGCTCAGCGTCCCAAGTTGCGGATAGACGTAAGCATTTCATTTGAATTGGCCGGGTTGGCCAAATGACCTTTGCTGGTAAGTTGAGATTTTTGCGGCACCATTCCAATTCGTCGCAGAACTGTTGTGCGCGCAATACAGTCTTTCATAATTATAAGGTCACCCTAAATATTGTAGTTCCGGGACAAGCAGCAGACTGGTAATTTTTCTAGTATTACCAGCTTACTCCTCACTGTGAAAAACCCTTGCAACGAAATTTGGGTGGAAACAGCTTTTCTTTTGATTTTTCTATAATTATTTTTCGGTTTTTGCACCGTTTCATAATTATAAGGTCACCCTGTGAAAATGTAGTATTCATTTTCACAGGGTGACCTTATAGAAATGAAACGGTGCAAAAACCGAAAAATAATTATAGAAAATCAAAAGAAAAACAACCAACCTGCATGTGAAATTGAATGCTTGTTACAAACACACCCACTAGCTATGGAATGTTCCTGACTCGCCTTTTGAAGAAAAGGTAAAGTTCGAATTTCATGGTACTTCGCACAATTCGCGAGTCTTTCCAAAGCATTTAGGACAGGCATTACCACTGCTCATGGATAAGTGAAAAGCTCCTACGTCTCCAGACATCCTACAAATTTTGAAAATCCTCATGAACGTTTCCACAAATAATTAGAGAACAGTTATGAGGGCTGTCTCAAACAGTGTTTCCACTCGAAATCGGCGTCGTGCCCACGTTTGTTGCTATCTCGAAAAAATATGAACTGGAGAGCGGTGAAATGATGCAGCAACATTACCAGGGAAGCGACAAAGATGGCCCGAAGGCTCATTGGCCAGCAAGGTGGCAAAACTTCAACCCGTGAAGTTGAACTTTGAGAGAGATTGAACAAAGTTGAGCCTGCGCCACAATCGCACCACACAGCAAGATAATTTCAGCAAGGATGGTATTTTTTGGCAAAACTGGTTTAAATAGACACATCCTGCGGATGTATACACATTTGAAGTGGCTTGCGAAGATGGCCGATTCAATTCAGCGCTTGCAATTTTAGTTAAGGAGATGTGAAGTGTGGGTGCTTTCTGTAACGATGTTGTGGCTAAATTCTGCTTCCATAAACTGCATAATGGACTGAAAAAATTAGGATAGCGCCTTGCGAGGACATCCGACCTTTCCTTTGAGCTGATGAAGTTGGCTAGCCTACGTAGTCATACAGAACAATACAGGTACCCATGTAGGTCATTCAACCAGAAGCAGCATTTCTCTCGAAACCCAGATGAACTGAACAAATTATTCTGAAGTCTAGTCGTATTGTAGTAGAACATCTTGGGGGCACCTTCTTGGGCTTGTCATGAAGAGTAGTGCGGATAAGAGCTAGTTAAAATTACACAAGAGCGTATACAAGCAACCCTTGAACGCGGAAGTGAATCTATAGTGATCTGCTTTGGAATCTCGATTCCGGTAGGCCACGGAGGCTATTCGATGTTGCCCTTGACAGAGGAGGAACTATACATTATTATGTCTATTTTATCTGTCGATAATCTCAGGTAATTGTTCCTTTTCTGAGGGTGACCTTATATTATGAAACGGTGCAAAAATGGAAAAATATTTACAAAAAAGTTCGAAGAAAAGCCGCTCTCGCCAAAAATTGCGATGTGGGGGTTACTCTTAGTGATAAAAATTACCAGTTGGCTGCTGGTTTCGGAAATGCAATATCTTAGGGTGGCCTTATAATTATGAAACGCACTGTAGTGTGCGGCGCCATCTGGGTCTTTGGCGTGAAGTTTTTTTTTCTCATGCTAGGCATCTTAACTGAAAAATTGGACTTCGTTGCCAATACTATTTCTATCACACAATTCATTTCCCATTCAAAAGCGTAATATATTTGTAAAAAAAATGAACTACAAGAATTTTTCTGATATTACTGTTACTATTGGGTTGATGCATAATTATTGCAGATTTTTTTCGCGCCTTCTTTTTCTGAATAGACTAACGCTTTGTTTATTATATTTGTTCATGAAAATATGCTTCTCTTCTTCATTAACAGAAATGCTTATTGAAAATCACTCATATTCACTATATATGCTCTACCACTTCGAGGAAGGTTGGAAGGCGGCAAAGAACGAACTCTTCGGTGAGGGAACGACTAGCGAAAGCCAAGTTGAAAGATGGTTCAAGATGTTCAAAACGTGACATTTACAGACCTGCTCCTACAGGCTGCCACTTCAATCAGCCATTGAAAAAAAAGCAAACGAACAAAATTCACGAGCTGGGTGACTTGGTGGCCGATGTCAGAGCGTGGATCGTCCCCAAGAATTGTGACTTCTTCACCCGTGGAACCGACCTACTGCCAAGCAAATGGGAAGCGTTCTTGATGGGCTAAGTCTACGCTCCGGAATAATCATTTGAACGTGATTTTGTTAAATATCTTTATCGTTTTCTCTGGATGGAATTTCTTGAAAAATTCCGCAATAATTATGCACCAACCCAGTACTATAAGGTCGCGTTCCCCAACCCTTCAGCCACGCTGGTACTCATACCTTATGAAGAGGTGCACTGAGACGAAAAAACGGCACTCCAATCGCATTACACCATGATCGTGCGCGATCAACAGGAGCACCTTCAGTAGCAGTTACCTGAGCAATCAGAAATTTAGAAATAGCCTCATACATAGCAGCGTCGATTACACTGCGTAGATGCAAATAATATATACTATGGGAACAAAGATAAATAAGTTACCTGATCGACCAGTATAAGACTAAGGTTTTTGAAGGCAAATGCGCTAGAAATAGGATTGAATATCTCGACGTGTAGCGGATCAAGTGGCGATAGAGGTATTTGGCCAGTTCCAAGAGAGAGCACACAACCAATCTCAACCTTATCCTCTGGACGGTGCTGAAAGGTACACGACCTGAGTTAATTAAACAAATTAGATGCAAAAGGCCATACAAGGATGTTTTCATGGCTTACGTAGCACCACGTTTGCGTTTTTTACTAATACATTGCACTCATACATGGTGCTTTTTATGGTTGCCTAAAGATATGCTTATGCTATACCACCAGTGACAATTGTTTGGTGCAGAATTACAGTAAGAAATTTAAACACGATCTCTGCAGTTTGCGCTGATGCAGGCTGCATGATGAGTTCCACGTTGAAGCAGAGAGGATGTGGTTATACAAAATCGAGACAGAGCTGGAACCGACACGCGGCGCATTTGCGACGAAGAGACGTTCGCAACAACGCAGAGATCTCGCCGTCAAACATTGCTCGTTTCATCAGAAGGGCAGGGTAGGGTGCTCATTCGAGGACGTCAGCACCGATGTAACTCGTCCACAGCGGAAATCAACCCGGTGAACAAGGGTCCTATTTTGCCAGGCCCTTTCTCCACTTTTTCCTTTACTGCTGCATCTCCAGCTGTACACTCATTCAAAACAGATGACCTTATCAAACCAAGTGCTTTTAACTTCTGTGCATAAGAAACCGAATTTAACCCTTCCAAACCTGGCGGTGGCAACTGGCACCACGAATTCAAATGTCTGCTTTACCGCCCAACAGCATATTTCTACTACCCACTATAAAGATTACTACAGACGACCTTCCCCTTCCTAATTATGCTATGAGCCTGCTAAATTATTGTGTTGCTGTTGCATTACAAGTATTTGTGTACAAGTGCGACAATGAAACACAATGAATGAATGGCACTGGTCCCATAAGCCGCTGGTAGGTGTCAGTCATTCCTGAAATACCTGACATATAATCAATTTCTTATCAAAAACCTTAGATATAATAATGTGCAAGATCGTAGACTTTTTCGACATATCTAATTGTGAGAAATTTGGACTCGATTCGAGATAAACTAAAACTTAAGAAGCTGTGCCAGTTTTCAAAGCTTCCTAGTTTTCTAGTTTGTGATCGAATAGCTTTCAGATTTCGCTATAATGATATCTATGCACTCAGAAGTAGTAATCAATAGCAAGAAGAATTTTTCCACGGAAAAATTTAGGTCCGAAAGGCTGAATCTACCCTTCATCTCCTCGATTGTGTCTTTCAGTTTTTTCAAGCCTTAATGCAGTTCAAATTATTTTCAGTGGGCTCACCAAAATTTGATCGGCTTCGCATTACAAACTTTGTTAGCACGTTTGTAGTCCTCCGATGACCAGGGGTCCACATACAAGTACAATTGCGTCAAAATGTAAACAATCGTTCATCGTGTGCACAAAACCGCCAGTGTGCACTTCCCATTTTGTTGCGGCGTGTACAGTGGGAAATAGAAAACGTAAGCTTCCGGAACACGCATCTTGGAGTTCGACTGGGTTAAGAGTCCTTCATAGCAAAACGTAGCATCGAGTACGATCGATAGATAGCATAAAATCTGATTTCGAACATTCGTTCCATTACAGTCTTGAATTTTATGAACCCAAACAATAGCAATCAATTCGTAATCGAGTGTAAAATGCTTTTAAACTCCTTCACGGGGAGAGTTAATAAATGACCAACTAACTCCCTTCGTAACCACTATTTGTCGTTTTGATCGAAATCCTACTGTTATAAGTTTAGATAATCTTGACGCATTGAACACTGCAGAAACTATTTTGTGACATTCATGTTTTTGTTTATTTACAGCACGAAATATGCGGGTATGTGGTGAGGCGGCGGCGCCCACAAAATTGGGTCCGTTCCACGCGACCGAAAAAAGGAAATGCGGCGTCGTCGTGAATGTGTTAAACAGGATTCGCAGTTTTCAATAGTTCTTTGAATTACCAAAAATGTTGATTTTGAGCAGAGATATATTGCTTTGAAGACAGAGGTCAAGATCCGCATTACTTCCTGGACAACCTGATATTTTTGTAACCAACGCCCAACTTTTTTGCCACCCATTCAGAAACGCGTATTATAGCGCTCCGTGCTTCTTTACTGCTAGTGAATCGACTCACATAACCACATAAAAACATACGACCTGTACAACAATAACGATGGAAATGAGAAACTAGATCGAAAGATTACCTACCAAATATGTGTTAATTCCATTATACAGTTGAACTTCGGCAAGCAGGTCAAGACATGGATTATTTGCAATAATACCACCGTCGATATATTTACCATCCACAGGCGAAAAGAACATCGGGGCGGCCGACGTGCGTCGTAAAGCTTTCCATGTAGGTAATTCTACAAGTATAAAATAAGAACTTGATTGATCTTCAATAGCCATCAATCAGTACTTTATAGTCCATAAGTGAACGGCAACAAAGCAATTCTAAATCATGCATTACAATGATTTGAGCTCACTCTAAAAACTAATTGAATTTGAACGCGTCCTTTACTATTCATCAACAACGATTCCATGCACTGGACCTATAAGCTGTGAGCAAGAAGTGTCACAGTTCTAGCAGCAAAGCAAGCAAACACGACGACTACAACAGAATCCTAAGCGCCGGCACTTACGAATATCTGCCGATCAGGCCCAGCATGAATTCCCGTAATCGTGCGGCAACGTACGAGCCAATAGCAACGGCATCATCACGGCACGACCTAGCGCTGTGTTCATCGCTGGATTTCTCATCTTCGACTAATATCTTCGGCAGACTCGCAGGGCCTTAGCCCTTAAAGTTACTATTCGAGATGTGTATCAGTTTAAGTCTTGCGGTAGAGGACCAGGGAGTGACCCAACATTAACATAAAGCCGGAAAGTTGACTGCTATTTGTGCCTATGTCATGTAGTATAGGGTATGCACCTATTTGTATAAAATTTAACCGTAATTCAAGGTCAATTAACCGAACAGCTATGTCGTGGTTCCAACTCGATACGTAACTTGGCTCACTTGCTCGAGTGGGTCACTGCAGGAGCATCACGCAGATTGTCGGTGCTTCGTTACTTCAAGGTCACCATGATGTCTCCCCCCCCCTCCCCTTATGCTCCATCCCTTCGGGACCCACCGATCCACAATAACACGTAAGGCGGCCTCGACATTACAGTGCGCTTGCTCTAGTAATCCTCAATGTCATATAAGCCACTACATCCGCATTTACGACACATCTTACTGCAAGAAGCAGGAAATTCACAATACCTGACGGATCCGTGAATCCCAATTCCAGATTCTGCTCGTCGGAGAGAGGTAATCGATAGTTCCTCATAAATTCCAACTTTACAGGAAAAAAGTCTGCCTTTACTGTGGTTATCATCAGCCTAAATACAGATTTTATGCTAGCGTCAGAAATGAGCTTATTCAGATTTGCGGGCAGGATAGAAGGTAACAAGAACTTCCGCGCTTCTAACAGGAAATCGTTCAGTGTGTGGAACGCCTTCTCAGAACGGTTTTTTGCATGCTGTAGGGGCTCTCACTAGAATAATGTGTTTCATTTTCGCTGAGCGGCCCCCTGAAGGCCAAAAGAGCGTCGAATTCGCCCAAAATTGCATAAGCATCGTCGGTATCCATTTCACTAGAAGACATTGGTAGACAAGTGAATAGCGTGGTGAACTGGGGTTGGCATGGCTTTGGGGTTCGAGTCCGCTCCGTGGCAGCCTTTTGCATTTGAATAGTCACTTTCAAATCGGCGCCAAATTGCCTCAAAATCAAAATCAACGCTATATCCACAGTCGGGACCGTCACTAGTCCCTGAAAATGGGGTTTTTTTTGAGAAACTGGTGGAATAAAATCGCAGTGCCAAATGGCGCCAACGCTAAAAAAAAAGAGCGCCATATCCGTGATCAAGACCCTGATTTACCCCCATATCCCGAATTTCAAGAAAAATAGCGATTTTGACCTAATTTCGAAAAAGTGGGGTTACCATGGGCTACAGGTTGTCACGCACGCCCGCACGCGACTTAAGACGAGCATCGCGCGGAAACCTCGGAATGCTCTGTTGCTTCGCGGGAACCAAAACTTCGGTTTCATGAGGGACATTTTCCATCACATCGCAGTCCGAAAGTGAAATCGCTCCAGCTATGAAGATGAAGCCTTGCGAGTGGAGGAGCCGTAGACCCAACACACCATAAGGAAGAATTTGCCAACTTCAACATCAAGCGTGTTCTGTTCTCCATTAGCAGCTTGGGTGTCTGTCGTTGTCCATTCAGCATTCTCATCATTTGAGAAGGATGAAACGGAACTTGTTTTTCGTTCACAGGCTGGCGATTCCTGTAGGCCGCTGACCTACCATTGGCCAATTTTTCAGATCCAGGTCAAAATCTAAGTTTTTTCTGGAACTTATAATTTAAGAAATTTTAGTGCCCTGACCACGAATATGACGTTAGTTGTCAGCTCCAAATAATGCCACTTCGGCGCTATTTGGCGCACTTTTGACGCTACCTCTTTTCTTCCCCGGATTATGGTAAAAAAAAATTAAGTAATTCTTACTGATGGTATGATGGACGGGATACCTAATTTTGGGACTCGCACTATTTGAAGTGAGTTTGGAAGCTCCAACTTTGGATGCAAAAATTTTGTCATCAAGAGGGATCGAACCATCCACCGTTTCTTTACCGTTTTTTGGCCTTCAGGGGCTGCTCAGCAAAAATGAAACACAGGACATATAGCCCACATGAGAACCTCTACAGCATGCAAAAAATCGTTTTGAAGGAGCGCTCCACAATTGAACGAGCAATTTTTGAGAGAAGTAGGGGAAATGAAAATGAAGAAAATCAAGGTAGTCATCCACCGAAAAATTCAAGAAGCAAGATATAGTAGTCCTCGGCCGGTGATAGGTCCCCGTCCACGACAAAGACGATCCTCAACTTTGAGGATCCCATATCCGCAAAGTTGGGGATCTGCCCTGGCACAAGAAGCCAATCAGGGGGTGTTATACATGCCCCTGAAATGGTGAAAAGCAAACGAGCACAGAAGTTTAAATGTCGATGTTTCCGAATTTTCGTTGAGATCGCGACAGCAGATAAACGCTTACCTATAGAAGCATAAAAAATGAATTGCTTTTCCAGCAGAAAAAATGTCTGCAGAGATGTGGGTCCGCACACCCAAAAAGAGTTTACCTCGGCGATTTAATTTCATCCAAACTTTCTTCTCCGATCGCTTCCTTCATAAACGTTTCAAGAACATTAGAATTATAAGGTCGAGTCCAGCCATCGAAGATAAGATCCTTGAAACGTAAGTAAATATGCTGACATTCCCTGAGAGTTTTGCCTGAAAAGAGAGCTAAATCCAGACGAACCCGCGAATAAATCTTACTGTGGGATGGTTTCCTCAATCAATGACACATGAACGGTCGAGTGCACAAGTTAACTGAATCGATGCCGATAACTGTAGGTGAGACAGTTAGATTTGATTTCAACGAGCACAGTTGCCAACAATATCCGGACACATGGCTGGATGATCAAATTCTTCTCAGTTTTTTTTTGCATATTTTCTTCGGTTTCATGATATCGTTCACTTCATGCAAAACAATCAGGGTTCCTAGCCACATGCAGGCGAACTGCTTCGGTATCTACCCAACAAATCGCCAGGCACTCATTCGTCTGAAGCCAGGCCCTTGGACAGCTAGATCGGTTGAGCAGTTTGAAGGAGAGGCGTGAAGCTTGGACATTGTCAAAAAGGAGATGCAGCTGTGTTCGGTGAGAATCATGAAAACATTGGAAAGATTTGAAAGCTTCGAGTGAAACGGTAAGAGAAGTTATGCTTATGGGGCTAGAAATTCATCCCTTAACTCCTTGACGACAGCGCGGCAAGTATTTATGCCGCCACTTTAGCACCACGTCGGACATTGTGGTCTATGTATGCCACACCCATCACATTTACTTTTTTCGCGTATGGCCAAAATCCATCAACTTTTATGTTCATTCTATAGGTCATACATCAGGATAACCAAAACCACGTGGCTCACAGAATGGCCGAATATTCTTAAAGGCAAGATTCGAGCTTAGACTGATGAGGTAATTCTACTCAAATGTGATGTAGGGGCGGGAGGTGGACCGACAGTGGAGAGAAAAGGAAAAAAAATTGCGAAATACACAGGAAATACGAGCCTTTTGCTCTACGTTGCCGAGAAGTTCAAAAGGCCGGTAGGGAGATGAGAGATAATGCGAGCGCGGAGAGCGGTAGAGAAATCCGAGAAGAGAGAGCATAGCAGATCAACGCAGCAACGCAGACAAATTATCGAGAGGTGGGCGGAGCGTGTCAAAGTCCTTGGCTCCTAGCGCCTTAGTGACGCATTTCGATGCGGAATCCTGACGAGTCGCCTGAAGTTGCGTTCCATGCGCTTCTTGCCACTTTGGGGGCCTATTAGATGGGTTTGAGCCCGAACTTTGCCTTTAAGTTGCCAGAGGTTTTCCGGACCTTCAGAAAGTACGATCAGCTATTTTTTTCGATCATTTCGATCAATTTTTGATCACGCGATTACTTTTTTCGTCAACTCAAACACGCAGAGTAATAGAAGTCAATACGAACCTAATCGCGTGGTCTGATATATGTCTGCTATGAAACAACACGTCCAGAATAATTTTTGAACCAATCAAGCCAAAGCAAGTAAAATTTGCCTTTTCATGACCTTAATACGTAATTCTATGATTGGCCAAACTTCCATTACACTCACTCGGTATAAGTTAGACACATCGAACATTATCGAAAACACTTTGTCGCATCTAAGTATTGCGTGTCTACAGCTTAAAATCCACGGATGTAAGGCGAAGGCGCTTGCGGAATCGCTTTGGTACCACGGGAAAAAAGCCAACACGCGCAATGTCGTCAACGAGTTGATGTTCAAAAATGAAGAGCATCATCGGATGCGCAGAAAAGGGGAAGAGGGAAATTAAGAAAGTATCGTCGGTAACATAACGCATTAACTCTAACACACTCGTTGAACATCTTCACGATTGTGGCAAGAAGGCAGAGAGTTTGAAAGTCACCAAGGGACGTCTGTCTCCGGAAACTCTCGAACTGATTCGCCAGCGTGGAGCCGCACGAGCTGCAGGCAATCACCGACTCACGTCCGAGCTTGCGAAGCTATGCAGAGAGGCGATAAAGGAAGATCTCAAGGAGCGAAGAGCAGCAGTATTAGCTGATGCCAACAGAGGCTGGGAGGAGCATCCGCAATGCCCGCCGAAGCTATGCCAGCTACGAGACAAGATGACCTGCCTCCGACGTCCAGATGGAACAGTTACTGCATCCGAAGGGCAATGGAGAAAGTCAGACCGACGTCATAGTCGGCGACGGACCAAGCGATGAAGCGATCGCGATCGCGCTCGGTCGAGCGATTGACAAGCGATTGCGCAATGTGCACAAGCGACGGGCGATTGGCCCCGCCCCCAGTCAGTGCAGTCGGCTGCGGTATTGATCGAGCAGAGCCATTGCCCGTCGTTTGTGCACTTTGCAAGCGATTGCGCAATCGCTCGACCAAGAGCGATTGGCAAGCGACGGACAAGCGATGGAACGATCGCGATCGCTCCATCGCTTGTTCCGTCGTCGACTATGACGTCGGTCTCATCCACGACTTCTACTCGGATCTATTCGACAGCCATGCCCATCTGCCCACTTATCAACCGCAGGAGGTTGGATACGTTGTCCCCTCAGTTCTCACTTAAGAAGTCCGACACGCCATCAAGTCGGTGAAGAATTGTACAGCGCCCGGTCTCGACAGGGCTAAACCGGAACATCTGAAGAACGCACCGCCAGTTATCATCAGAACTCTGGCTCGACTCTTCACGCGCTACCTGTCGGAATGCAAGGTACCCACTCCGTGGAAAACCAGCAGGACTGTGTTGCTGTACAAGAAGGGAGAGTTGAACGACATTGGCAACTATCGCCCAATCTGCCTGCTGTCTGTAATCTACAAGCTATTCACACGAGTCATCCTTGACAGGATCGACGGAATACTAGATGAAGGACAGCCATGCGAGCAAGCAGGGTTCCGAAGAGGGTTCAGCACGATCGACCACACGGTTACGAGACTCATTGAAGTTTCACGGGAGTACAAGATGCCGCTTTGTCTCACATTCATCGACTTGAAGAGGGCCTTCGACTCTGTGGAGACAGAAGCGGTCATCGAAGCCTTGGGCAACCAGGGCGTCCCTACTCACTACATCAAGATTCTTCGTGAGCTCTACAGCACCTTTACGACCAGGATCTCACCATTCTACAAGGAGGTCATCATCGACGTCAAGAGAGGTGTCCGACATGGCGACACCATCTCGCCCAAACTCTTCAGCGCCGCTCTCGAGAACGTCATGCGTCAATTGGAATTTGAAGTGGGAGTGAAGGTTGACGGCCTACAACTACACCACCTTCGTTTTGCTGACGACATCGTTCTTAAACGCCGAACATCGAGCAAGCGGAGCGAATGCTGGCTGATTTCGACTGCGCCTGTGGTAAGGTTGGTCTACAGCTGAACCTAACGAAGACGATGTTTATGAGAAACGGATTGGTTTCTTGTGCGCCATTCACGCTCAACGGACGAAATCACCGAATGCTCCAGTACGTGTACCTAGGTCGGGAAATCAATATGATGAACGACCTAGCTCCAGAGCTGAGCAGGAGGAAACGAGCGGCTTGAGGAGCGTACAAGAACATCGAGGGAGGGTGAGAAGACGAAGAACATCCGGCTCCGTGCCCACCTCTTCGATCCCGCTTGTCCTTCCTGCCCTAACCTACGCCTCAGAGACTTGGACTCTGCACAGGCAGGACGAGCATGCGGTCAGCGTTATCCAACGCGCTGTCGAGAGGACGATGCTAGGAGTAACCCTGTACACGCAAGTGCAGAGGGGAATCCGGAGTGCCGAACTACGCCAACGATCGAAGATCAGGGACGCTGCCGTTTTCGCCAAGGAATCGAAGATAAGGTGGGCCGGACACGTCATGCGATTTTGCGATGACCGTTGGACCAGAGCGGTTACCGACTGGATCCCTCGGACGTCAAACGAACACCTGGACGACCGCCGGCCCGATGGTCAGACTTCTTCACGAACGCGTGAATCGAAAGGAATGATGGACTTCGTGTCCTTCGAGCAAGGAGGATCCACTGGACCACCCTAGCACGGGGACGAATGGAGACGTTGCTGGCGCCCGCTCGAGCAAATCGACGATCAACGGGACGACAGGTGATACAGGTGACAGGTGATCGTCGGTAACGATACTCATGTGAAGATAGACCAAAAGTTGAGCAAATCATCAAGTATTGAATTTGCAAGATATCCTAAAGAGCAAGGAAAGTATGAACTACACCACGCAAAAATCACATATGAGTGCAGCGAAATGTTCAGCATGATGAATCCCCAAGTAAGAGGATCGCACTGAGTACCTGCATGATCGGATTGCTGAAATCAGCATTCCAACTCCAGCTTACAGCTGAACGAATAAGATTGAATTGTGAAGGGTGGCATCCAAACTTGCTCAAATCCACAGGTTCATTTAGAAAAAATTTACTGTTTCACTGGGCCTAACCATATCGACTGAATTTAGTTAACTGCTGAATTATGATCAAGCGTTAGCACGGCAGATATCGAGTTCTGACTCTTTGTTGTACTATAATCTTGTCACCATACATATGCTTCTACCCTGTTGTTGCAAAAATTCTCACTAAAACACTTCTAATGTAATCATGACTATAAGCATACCTTGTGCTAAAGCGGTTCCAAGCAGAGCACCAGTAGAGGTGCCGGCAACCCAATCAAAATAGGGAAAAATTGGCTCGTTCAGTTCTTCCTCAATCGCTAAGAGCGTCTGAAAACTAAACCATCAGATTGAATATTGGAAAACCATCAGATTCAATAATTGCGTCTGCATTCTAAATGCAATGCGCCGTCCTATGAAGGATGCAGTCTTGCATGACCTTGTCCTTGCTAATTTAATGTGAAGCGCTTCATTTTTATGTCTGTCTGCTTGTCTGTACGAAATCCGGTATCAGTAGAGCCACCTGGGAAGACCGGGACAAATTTGGACCATGAAGGGCCATGGACCATGATGCCCAAAAGACACATCAGCTGAGCGGAGGTTCACATGCAGTAGGCGGGGAATTGTAGAGAAGATTGTGTACCGAGAAGTGGGGTCCCTTCTAACACTTCATATTTCGCTTCCTAACAGCCCAGTGACCGGCAGTAAATGCACTGAGCACAGTGAGAAGAGGGAATCAAATGCTGATGGAGAATGAGCCTCACACAAAACCATACGTATCTTTTCCAACAGACCTGAGACCGGTTAAAAAGTATCGAGATAAGTAGTGGAAAAGTGGATAGCACCTAGCGGAAAAGGGGTCAAGATTAAGCGCTAGTGGTGGGCAGGGAGTGAATCTATGTGGGCGAGGTCTGCCACAAAACGTTATTTCGAATCTAATACGGTCCGAAAAGGAGAAAAAAATCAGCAGGAATAGCGGAAGGATCAGGCCGCGGAACTGACTTCCCTGGCCGCCAGCTACAAGGGGTAAACTGCTCAATCTCCGAATCTTCAAAAGACTCCCACAGCATGCTGCATTCTGGCGTCACTCATGCATGCAGACCGCAACAACCTGCGGCGCTGAAGTACAAAAAAAATTGACAAAACCCTCCACATACCGACATTTTGCTGTGTCAACAATATCTATCTTAGAATACTTATGTGTAAATACAATAAAAGGGCGGAAAGCGATTCAGTGGCAAGTGGCACGCTTACCACGCGAGCGGTCCGAGGATCAAACTCTGCCTCGTGAGTCGCCCGGCCAACTAAGCCTTCCATCATCCGGGGTCGGTTAATTGAATGCGTGCCGCCTCCCAAAAAGAGATTGATCAACGGCAAATGCTTCATCCTTTTTATCCTTCGAATACAATAAAGCAAAGAACCGAATAGAAAATGGAATTTTGTGCAGGAGATGGCAGAAAACAACACAGAAAAGAACATGGAAAAATAACATGTGCTCAAACTGAATACGGTACCTGAAGAATAACGAGTCCACGTATCCCCCCTCCATCCATTGACAGAAGATTGACCATATTGGAAGGTTTTTTGCCCTGTGACGCCATATCTTCAAGGCGAGCGATCAAACCGTCATAGAACATCTGTGTGAATGACCTTTTGATTAGAAACAAAAAAAAATACTTGCGCTGGAATTCACTCTGTTCATACCTTCTGTGTGAAATCGCGGATAGGATGATCCACTTCCACAGTATCAGGATAATCTTCCGATGACGGGGCACTTTCAGTAAGACGTGGGCTATCACATTCAGAAGCGTTCTAAATGTAGCGTTTGTTTCAATGAAAATGAAAGAACATTCAATCATAGAAGAAAGTGTCCCGCATCAGTCTTTTGAAACAAAATTTGACAAAATAAAAATAATTCCGGATAAAATAATAATTAATATTAAATTAATATTAATAATTAATCTTGATATAATATAATAATAATAAAATATAAAATATTTTCGCGAAAAAGAAAAATGAATTCTCACACTGTTTTGTACACATTTGGACCAAAACGGGACTTCTGGACAGGAAAAATTGAAGCACTGAAGAAAGCGTTACCTTGAATGCGCTAACCATCGTCTCATTAACGCAGCCAGAAACACATCCAGTTTTCTTTGGCTCACAGGTACGAGCACCACAGAGGACGAGCGATTTAAGCAAGGCAACCCTACAAATATCATACAATGCCAGAATGATGAAATTTAGCAGAAAAATATAATTGTAATTCCCTCCAAAGCTTAAACCTCACTCTCTCAAACGAGCTGCCAAATGTCGAGGGGTGTCGTCATGGCTGTTGGTTTTATTCGGATTCGCTCCGAGACAAAGCAGAAGCCGCGTAGCCTATAAGTTCTTAAGAGTGATGTTAACATTATATATTATAATAAATTTAAATATAGACAGTGTAGATAAGAATCAGAAACATGTGCGCAAATCGATTGCGGGCGTAAAAAAAGAAACAAAAACATCTCAACAACCAGATGACCACTGGTGACTACATGAGCGTTAGCTGGGCTTCTCCACGCTCGACAGAAAGTTAATACGTATGACGTCAATGATTTTGATGCTAATAAACCGTGTATCTGTCTATAAGTTGTGTCGTACAAAAGTGTGTTAGTGAGCGTTAGGCTTAGTGAGCGTTAGGCTTGGTGAGCGCCAGGGCTGGGCCCGAGTAAGGTAGGTTATTCATGTGGTGCCGTCGTTGCGGTGTTATAGCCGAGAGAAGGGCCCTCGGCCCATGGACTGGAAAGCCCGGTCGATGGCTGATCTTGCCCACATAGCTGTCATTTGTCGCGTCCCGTGAACCCCTCGCTTGAACCTGTGAGGCCCCGGTGTGCAGCCGTGGCCCTTTCACCGCTGGGCTCGCCGCACGCCATCTAGCGCGCTACGTGCGCACCGCTGCTGAACTTCTTTTCAAGTCTGTTATGTAGACGAGTTTGGTAGATGACACAGGATCTTGAATGAACTCGTCGCCAGATCTACTGCGGAAGATTCCTGCCAAGTTCGCGACAGCTCTGCAGCTGCGTTTAGGGCGCAGAATACTGGAGAAACTTGATGAAATGAGGAACGCTCCGGGTCATTTCCTTAAAGACCTCCTTGTTCTCCAAGGCCATGTCATACGAGAATTTTGAAAATCTCGACAATTTGGGGATTCTACGATTCCGCAAAGTTTAGAGATTGGTCGAATCTCTGAAGCGATTCAAAAACTCGCAGAAGACCCAGTGCAAGGAACAATGCTCCAATCGACATTTTTGCGCGGTTCCGCCCCGACGCTCCGACCTAGTGACATCTAATCCTTTTGCCCCTCTGCGTCTCCTTCACGAGGTAAGACACGAGACGATGAAGAGGCACGCCCATGATTGGTGGATTGTTAACAAGTTAATAAGTTGAGCAAGCTTTGCGACTTGAATTATGTTCTTAGCGCAGTAGCTCGAAAGTATCGTTTTCGGTGTGGACTTCACTGGAATAGGGTGAGAAAGTTGTGTAATATCCTCTTGGCGAACAGAGAAGGAACAGAGCAAAGGACGCGTTCGCTGACATGAAACTTTTTATGAGGAGGTTGTTTAGACGATTCCCTAACAACTTCCGCTGTCAATTTCTCTAACCAGATATTCTCACACTTCATGAAAAATATGCTTGACAGGGGGAAACGCCATGGAGAACAAAGGTTTCTCACATCCTCTCCCGAAATCCCCTCCCTTCCCCACGGCTTAGTTCCAATTTTGCAAGTGGCCAGCGAACCACTTGAATGCAGGTCGTAATATTCAGCAAACCTATTGAACAACGGAATGTCTTTTTCCTAGCACTACTATTCTAACCACTGTTGAGTCAAAAACACATGAACCCAACTATATTCAAACGGACCAACTACTCTGGTAGAATCCTGGCACTATGTCAATCATGAGAACTCGGGATTGCGCAATCAACGTTGAGAGGCCAGACAATTGGAGGACGCGCCCCTAATTCCTTGTTCCGCCACGTCAAAAGGATTAGGTGTCATACAACCCGACGCTCCCATTGCTGGAATACGAACCAGAATGGGTCCACTCAGTTGGGTTCAGAATTCGAACTAGGAGGTCGCTCCATACATATGTTTCACCACACAATTGCCACATACTGTAACAAAAGCTGCTCTTAGTAAACTTAGTCAACCATTTGTTGTGGCTTTTTGAAACAATTAATTGCGACAGATTCTCGTTCTGTTTGAATTTTTCTCATTATTAATTCCGAGATCGGAAACGATTTACATTGTAACTAAGCCTTATCACAATAAACAGTCTCAAAAAACAGCTACAAAGAGGTTGAACGGACAATGGGAAAATAAAAGACGAAAGATGTGGGAAGCCAGCTCACCTCGGTGTTCTTCCGCGAAACTGCGATATGAAGTGCAGTATTCCCATCATTGTCTTGGGCGTCAATATCACAGCAGTACGACAACAAAGTGATCATTAGGCCGATATCACCCTGTAAATGAATTTTTGACAAGTCAAGCAGGTATTGATGTTAAATGAAAATGCCATTATCTCACTTTATGGGTGAAGATATGTAAAGCAGTTAGTCCAGCATTATTTTTAGCGTTTAGGTCGATATCTTTGTTCTTCAAAAGCAATAGCCCCATAAGGGAAGTCTTGTACATTGCAACATGGAGCGCCGTATTTCCAGATGAATCTCTTTCCGCGATGAGATCAGGAGATGCTTCGACTATCGCTTTGATGATGCTAAAAGGATAGTTATCAATGAAGTCCTTTCGATATCACAACTACAAATGTAGTTCCATAGAGTTAGCCCTAGCAACAGCACTAGCTAAAGAATTAAGCCCAGTGAGACGAATTTTGGAGAGGCCTGAGGAGGGACCCTATGAAGAACCAGTTTGGCAGAATCACCATATCACGAGTATCATGCAGTGGTCACTCTCGGGCCGGATGTTGACAGAGGCCTCACCATGGTACACCAATCCTCAAATTGAATTGTCAAGAGGATATGGTATGCGACGTTCAGTGCAACAACGGAGCTCGTATGGATAACTAGTTTACGCTTCAATGAGCGCAAAACCATCTTAGATGGAAAAAGCGCAGCTCCTTCCTCTCTTTGAGTTTGATATCCCGAAATAAGGAAATTATGTGAAAACTCGCTTCGAACACGCTAGAAACGGACGAAACGAACAAAAGGGTCTCTCACGGACAAGAGGTCATTTCAACACTACACTTTGTAGGCTTCAGCAGGAAGATGCACTTAGTCGTAAAGAAAAAATTCTGCAAGGAGAGTGGTTGCTCCAGTCCACACTCTTCGAGGACATGATACTCGAGAATCACTTACCAAATTCACATGGATTTCCTGTATGGTAAACCTGGAAGCAAGTGCTGTATAAGACCCAGAAAATTCCTGATTCCCAGAGAACATGTATCAAGAAATCTGTTATCACCTTGGCGCGTCTTGAGGCTCCCTTAATATTTTGCCCAAGCGCGGACACTGTGGATAACGCGCTCAAACGCAGTTAATGTCTTTCAAGCGATCAACTTCAATTTCAATACGTTACGCAACATACTGAAGTTGAAATCAATCGATTGGAAGGCACCGAATGTGCGTCAAGTACACACACACACACAGAGAATGAGCGACTTACTCGGTGTTTTTTCCTTTGCTCTGCATAGCCTCAAAGAGCGGATTCCGTCCATGCACTCGCATACTTAGCTCCGCACCGAAGTTGAGAAGAGTAGCAAAACAGCGGGGATTCGCTGCTCTGATAGCCAGCATGACAGGGACATATCCTTCATTGTTCGGTAAGTTAATAAGAGCATGACAATCCTCGAATTCCCATAAAAGCTGTAATAACACTGAAATCGAAGACAGGCAAACTCCAGATGAGAATTTTAGTCAAACATTTCCACAGCACAACGAATTTTCGAGACGTAGGAGTAAAATGGAGATCAGAAGAGGAATCTTATGAAAACAGTTACAACGAGTGTGAAACAGAGATAGAACTATAAATCACTCAACTTACCTCGAGCATTTGAACACTAGCGAGTGAAGCATAATGAATAGCATTATTTCCACTCATATCCTTCACCGTTGCGTCTGCTCCCAACTCCAGCATTCTTCGCACTATCCTCAGGCGATGCATTTCGATGGCCAGATGCAGAGGGTACTTCCCTTCTGGTTGCACCATCATTTTCATTATGCTAAATGACACAGTGAAAGAGCAGTGAAGTGAAATGAAAATCCTCCCCAGCATCGACGGGAATTTCTCAGATGAAACACCTACTGGCACAATCGTCCACATCCTACACACATGCGGGACGTTGCAAAATCACAAGCCCCTCAGAGAAGTATTCCTTCAATAAGCATCTTTTCTCGAAAACTTCAGATAGGTGTCAGACGTCGCGATTGCAGAACGGTGCCACAGTCCAAACAATGCGGATCTAACCACATTCCCCACTCGCGATTACGATCGCCGTTGCAATCGCGAAGTCTGACGCCGACCGTACCATTGAAATAGTAACTTCTACAAAATTAGTACCGTTGGGAAATCATCGAATACCCCGTTTATGACTAAAGAAAAACACAGAAACACGCATGAACTGTTTCCCAGTACAAGCCACTTTTTGGCTAATGATATCACTCATTCGATTAGAAATGCTAGAGATGGCACATTTCCCTGAGAAAATCTCCCAGCGGATAATCTTCAAAAAAGCCTGTGGTTAAAATGGTAAAAATATGTTCTGTATACAACGATATTAATCATGAAAATTCTAGTCCCTGCTAACCTTTTGAAAGGTTTATACTCGGTATTCATGTACTGGATATTGGCATCAGAGAACAAATCCAAACGATCACAAGCGATAGCAATGTGAATCATTCGGTAAAGCGGATATTGCCGTAATTTTGCCATCAAATCATGAATGGATTTCTTTGGATCCTTTGAACGATCTGAAATGTCGTGTAGAGGATAGGAGGACAAAACATTAAAAACATCTAAAAAGTTCAGGACATCGAATAAAAAATATGAATCAAGAATTACTAGGAATGATTCAAGAAAGCACCTCAACTGCAACCAGCAGCACCTCGTAAGATAAGATTTGATCACAAAAATAAAAAATCAAGAAACCTAGTAATTTGAATAGTATCTTGCACTCCAGACAACGTCGACATAAATCAACAGCTTCCTCAATGATTGAAGATCGAAATAAGCTGTACGATGGAGCATGTACTGCCTCTGTAAAATGTTTGCTTCGCTAAGCTCATTGATATTCGAAATCTGGAACGAAAACACTTAGATACTAACCGGAAACAGAGAACACAACGTGATGCAGGGGTTGTGCGGGCCTATTCTTGATTGAACCCTGCACAACACGTAGTGATGATTTGTGATTATCCGCAGGATACACAACCTGAAAATTGCCACAATTCAAACAATGTGCACAGCATAAAACACCAACTACTATTCGGAAATTCACCACCACCCTTCCCAACACTTCGTTTGTAATTAGCTAGGAGTAATGATTTCTAAGCTTGTGATTGGTAAGCAATACGATGAGGCAAGTCTATCTGTCTTCCTCAGCACATCAGCGACCGTGAAAATGCCATCCTTTGACCTTTTATTTACAGTACCATTTTTACAGTACCACATTTAGGTAGTGGAAAGGTAACTTAGAATATTCATAAGCAAAATGGTTGTGTTCCGCCCTGCTGCCAGAGCTCCAAGGAAAACAAAGTAAGAGTTCTTTAGGATCGCTCACTGATCCTGCAATTTTCTTTGACTCCATTTTCCATATCATCACCCACCGCCATGCACTCATTTTCATACTTGAAATCAAATAGGCAGCAATAATCAGATTTGGTGTGTGGATACGAAGAAAAAAAAACTTTGTGGTTCACACACACTACGGAGTGCGGCAGTGCTTCAACTGTTGCTGAAGCTAGTTTCTTGTATGGGCCTCTGACAATCGGAACTCAATAAAAATTCATTAATAATTGAAAACATAAGCTAACACGACTGACCCTATGGGCTCTAAGAAGCTCAAGAGGAAACAAAACGATCTCGTTCGAATCTGATGGTATCCAATAATCTTCTCCAAAAATGCTCTCTCTTGCAGACGACCAGAGCTCTCCCAGCTTGGAAGAAACTTGTGCTAACGAGAACAAACTGAAATGAACATTTGGCACCACGAGAACCAATACACTGCTTCCAAAGATATTCGCTAGGGTGTCCCCCAACAGGCCCACCGCGCGGCGAAGCAAGCGACGCAGACGCGGCAAAGGGACGAGTCGCAGCGCATACTGTAGCGGTTAGGCGTCAGGTTAAAGAGAGTGTACCATACTAAGTCTCATATCACACAGCACGCAACTCGTCTCTTTGCCGCATCTGCGTCTCTTGCTTCGCCCGCGCGGTGGGCCTGTTGGGGAACCCCATTCGCTAAGATCTCAAACATGAAATAATCGTAATCAGATACTTTAATTAGACTCAAAAGAATACAAAAAAGCAGTCTCAACGTGCTGATCCGCGGGTGCTAGGTGCAAGAGAAGGGAGGGGAGAGGAGAGGTTACGGGAGAATTGGAATGGAAAGACGGACGACTCCTTAGCGAACGCGTGGTTACGTGACGCCTCGGTGACTGCGCGATGATGAAGTGGGTAACGGTCAGAGCCGCCAATGATTCTACGGAAATGAAGTCGTTGGCCCTTATATTAGCCTCCAATTAATAATGGTTGTAGGGAAAGTTCTCGCGGTTTTTGACACATATATTACCTTAATTATTTATCAACAAGAAACCATATTAGGAAACAAAGTAATCACCATCACGTTCTATCACTCTTCGCCATTTTTCGGGCAGACTTTTGATGCCTTCGGCAAAGAACTTTTCTGGCTTCGATTCAAAAAAGTTGCTCATCTCAACTCAAGGCATGCTTCGAAAAACTTTCCCTACAACCTAATATATTAGGTAGTCTCATAAGTAGTGTCGGTTTTTTTCAAGCAGAAGATTTTCCCCTAATTCTCTGAATTTTTGCAACATTTCACAAACCACTCGGATGAAATTGTCTGCTCTATGTGAGGATATGCTTTTCTTATATTTCTTTGAAGGGTTTTCAAATTTGAGACCTGCGAAATGGGAGGTCCGCCGGGCGAAAACTAGCTAAACCGACACTGGCCCTAACTCTACTTTCCTCTAGGAGGACTCAACCGACGATGAGTCCTCAACTTAGTCACGAATTCTTATGAACATTCCACTATTAGGTTGTCGGAAAAGCTTTGCCATAATTCTTTCAAAATTTGTTTTCTTCTGGTCGATCCATAAAACATAGCGATTTTTGTAGTGAAATTCTTCCTCTAAAGCACCATTGTCTTACATCAAGTGATATATAATTCGAAAACGCATGTCCTGTCCTAGTTGCGCATCTGCTTTAATTTCATATTCGTTGGAAATCAGGTCGAATTTTAGGCCTGTACAACAAGGTGTTCAGACCATGAAAATGACAACATTTATTTGAAGAAAATTTTACCCGAGAAGACAAGAACATCGAGCAGGTATACATTCCTGACTTATTCATGACCTGTTATCAACATCTCACTAGCTTTCAATGTCTCGGCTGTGAAAAAAAAAATTGTGCTGGACTTCAAGAAATGGTGCTTGACCGTTGAGTTTTGTTGAAAAACCAAGTCATGAAAAGGAGCAACGCGACTTGTTGACAAGCCTAATAACGGAATGTTCAAAGGAGGTTGTGACTAATGCGCAATCATTGGCGGATTCCTCCTAGGGAAAAATAGAGTTAGGGCTAGTTGTCGGTTTGGCTGTTTCTCGTCGAGCGGACTTCCCATTTTACAGGCCTGGAATTCAAAAACACTGCAACACATTTGAAAGAAAAACATAGCTGCTTGTAGAGCAGAAAAAGCTCTTTTGAATGAATGGTATATGACGTTTTGTAAAAACTTCGGAATTAGGAAGAAAATTTCTACTTGAAAAAAGCCGACACTACTTGTGAGACAACCTAATAGTTTCGGGGCGTTGAAACATTGCATAGTGCACTTTTACGTTGGCTAATGAAAGCAAATCGGGCTCAAATGCGAAATGAAAGCACGTTGCACGTTTCAGGGCCACAGCTTTGATACGTGATCTCCTCACGCCAGGCTCCCCCACTTTCTTCACGATTTGGTGCGCGGCCGCGGCGAGCGCGGACGAGTTGGTAGTGCCCGCGAACTGTGCTAATGGACCGTTTTCAAACCTACCCGCACAGTTCGCGGGCACTACCAACTCGTCCGCGCTCGCCGCGGCCGCGCACCAAATCGTGAAGAAAGTGGAGGAGCCCACTGCCCACCTTAGCAAAGTCATTTGATCAGAAATCCAAGAGACGAAAATAAAATAATGTGTTCAAATAATGGCAACGGTACTTCTTTGCAAAAGGTGGCTTTGACGTCAGACAGGTCGCAACGCTTGTTTCCCAATGCACCGTAAAGGCTTAAGCGCGGTTATTAATGTTATACAGTAGATAATTAAGTGGTTTCGATGTCGACATAAGACTAGAGCTTATTCCATTGTTTATCAAAATCACTTAATATACTGAAAACGCAGCTGGAACAAATGCGTATGAATTACGAGGACTTATAAAGCATTAATAAATGGCAAACCTTGGTCTGATAGCGTTACGACCATTTGTAGGTGATGAGGGAGGGGTTTTGGTTATTTCTTCGTCTTCTCTTGCTTGATTATCGTCAACATCCGGGTTGATTCTATCTCAAAGTCAACAATGAACGTACCATACAGTTAAGACAACAAAGAAAGGAAATCGAATTCAGAGTGTCAAGCCCATCCTCTTCTCTGCCAAGAAAGAGGTGAGCACAAAGCCAAACGACCTGGACAATAGGGCCAACTGCTCACATCGTCAAGCCGCTTCGCGCCGCAGTGCGTTTGATAAAGGTCTTAGTTCAACCACAAATGACAAAAAGAGGTCAACGAGCGCGCACCTTCATTAATATCATTTGTCTCTCACCCAGGTGATTCATAAATGCAGGCTTGGTAACACGATGTCACATCGGAAGAACAACAGCATCAGCATAATTGGCCTTTCTAAGCCTTCACTGAACGTGCTACTGCTAATTTACGTACAGTACCACACCAGGCAAAAAGGATGAAGAGAGGCCACGTGTGCTTCCTGATGTTAATGATTACATGACACAGTGCGTACCAAAAGTATGTGGACACCCTAAAATTTCCTATTCTCTCAAAAACTGCCCACTTCTGCACCATTTGACCACCACTATTCAATTTCTCTATGCGAAAACCTTGGAATTTCTCATTTCTCACAATTTTACGTGCATCTTAGATTTTTCGCAGTTAATGAAAAACCTTGTGTCACTGTACCCCTGTGTCAAAAGTATGCGGACACTTTTTGAAAAATGGCAATGTCTTCAGAATCCAAACTCGGTAGACCTACCAGAGCTTCTAGTAAATTAAGACATTCTGTTTAGCCTACTCTGAACCAGGCTCTTGATACCTGCGTCTTGTCGAACTGTTCCCAAGCAGCCAATTTCACCAAAGTGTTAGGTCACTTGTGATGTTACTCTTTCGTTCAATGACGAAAAAGACCGCGGGGCACGATCCCTCCACGTTTTTGATGAGGATGATGTCTGCGAAATATGCTAGCCAACTTGCCAATATGAATCGGTGCGTTTAGCATTTTCCCAAATGAAATACGTGTCAAGGACCTACCTTTGGGCCCACCGCAAAACCAGCCTTCCGCGACGGTGATTTTTTAAAAGGTTGTAGCAGGGATTGAACCACCTCATTATAATCTTAGTTGTCTACCTGACATGATGACAAGTCAAACTCTTATTTTCCCCCTCTTCTGGAACCACCCAGACTATTGATGAACCTCCCTCAACATGTCTCATCCAGTTTTGCGGGTTACGACCAGAGTCAACCCTGCGTTGCGCAGTTCGCAACGGCACGTTGAGAGATCCTCAATGCACGCTGTATGGGCGGAGACGCAGACGGCTCGAGCATGGAGTGTGAATGTTCGCGCGAGAGAACGTGTCTAATCGGGCGAAACTGCGCAACGTGGCCGTTGAGAACTGCGCAACGCACGATTGACTCTGGTTACAACCAAGGTCTCTCCATACACAACGAGACCCACCCAAATAGCCAAAGACGAGCTTCTCCCAGCCAGTGAAGGTGGTCAGAGCAGGAAATTTCCTCAGAAAGACGTTTATTCTAGTCTTACCATTTCCACGAAAGCGCTGTCTGCCGGCGTTCGACGTCCCATGTTGTTGGTCAGTTTTTGAGTAGAAATTGCAACCTTGCCAACTTGTACTAGGCATCCATACACGAATCTTTCTTCATTTTCTATTGTACCCTGCGTTCATCCCATCGAATGGAGTGCTAATTGGTAATTTTTAAGACCGGGAAGGTCACTTGAACGCGAGAGAAAGTGGCAGACAAAAGAAATTTTCACACATCATGAGCTATTCTTGTGTTGTTTTAAATAAGTAATGATCAAGAACACTGGCGGACGCGGCCGCAACAAACCCGCGGCGCTCCGGCCGAGTATTGCGACATCAGCTTACCTGAGTATTCGACGTTACATTACGTGTCTTTACGATCGGATGAACTAACACGTAATGTAACGTCGAATACTCAGACAAGCTGATGCCGCACTACTCGGCCGCGAACGCCGCGGGTTTGCCGCGGCCGCGCCCGAAATCGTGAAGAAAGTGGGGGAGCCAGAACGACTCTTAGACACTATCGGGAGCTTAGCATCAGGATTCCGGCTCTCCTCTCCAACATAAAAGGACGCACATCCAGTTTGATGTGCGATTCAGCAATCGGAAGCTACAGCAACATTAGGACTCCATATCTATGCTTGCTCTTCTTCAGAGAAATGCCTGCCGTGAAGAGGAGAGCGATGAAAGAATAAGGAAGCAAGGCAAAGTAAAAATACCTTAGCGAGTTGGCTCAGAAACTTCATCTACCTTGAGGTGTCCACTTACTTTTGTTTAATACAAGGAAAAAAATCCCATCAAAAGATCGAAATCTTTTGCCGAAAATATCATTGAAGGCTATCGATCCCTAGAAGTTGAATGATGAAGGTTTCGTGACATAAATAATCTTTAGGTGACCCTTGAGGATCGATTCCAGGGTGTCCGCATACTTTTGGCACACACTGTATGACGATACATTGCTAAGTCATTTGTCAATCACCTGTGCACGGGGCACAAAGGCTGATACGCAACGGATTACTGCTTCGATTTCCAACCAGCAATAAAGAAAAATAGCCTGACACCAGCAGAATAGGCAATAATGAGTCAATTTGTTTCAATTGCGCATATGAGAAAGAAGGTCACCTCAGATCGTGCCTTATTTGAGTTTACTGAAAACATAAACAAAACATGGTGACAAGGACATTTTTTTCTAATAACGACACCAAATTCTTCCCTTACAATACCCTCAGCATACTCGTATCTTCCTGCATTTTACCTCCACTTCTGAATTATTCCAGGGAATAATACCACGACCAACTCAAAATCTTCAGCACCGAACGCTCTTATACAACTCACAAATGCATGGCTCTTATGGCTCTTCACGCTGGTGTAGTTAGAGGGTGGGGGGGGGGGGTGTAGGCATCACTGTGTAGACCGTGAGGATGAGGGAAGGAAATTCGGGACAATAGAAATTTCGTACACCCCCTCCCCTAATTTTCTGAGGCATATCCCTAGGTGGGCTATGGGAGGAAGGGTAGGGTGTTGGATGTCTAAGTTATGCTTAATGTGTTCATGCATAAATGGAAACCGCCACTGTGGATACATTTCTACGTGAACTCATTGATGGCTGGACTAATGTAGGCGTGGACGACCAGCAATCTGCCTCGCTTTTCATCGTTTCGCCTAAGAATGGTTGTAAGCTAAAGCTGACAGTTCGACAATGCCCTGCGATTTATTCATTACGATGTTTTTAGGTAATTCTATTGGCAAAATTGTCAAAACAGCGTAAGCTGAGGATGCTATCACAATAAAAGGGGGCACTCACTGGGACTACGCCTAGAAGGAGGCAGGACTTCAGGAAAATGGATATTGCTCCCAACTTGTAGTTCTCCTCTTTTGCCTGAGTATCAGTCGCGATTTTCACAAGAAGGATATGCTTTACGTGGTTCTAAACTCATTGCCACCATAATGCCCCCGTATCTTGGAAGTGTCCACTGTAAATTTGTGGAGATTTTGCGCGCGTCAACACTTTTTAAGATCTTCGGTTTTGTGTAAATCGTGAGACTAGGCAATTCAGCGTAGCGCTCTCTGGGAGCTGTCGCACATGCCTACTATCAGAGCATCTCTGCTTTCTTTATTTCTCTCGAAAGGCTGTCTTAGTACTACTTCGAGAGTATGCTTTTTCATCTACACCCTTTGGTTGGGAGAAGCCTTGTAACCACTTTTATCTGTTGGCGACTGTCTCCCTTTCCCCCAAACTGAGTCAACACCGAAATTTCTTACAAGGAAAGGATGGTAGGTCGAAGTGGCCGTATAAAATGAGATGTATACCATCTGATGCGTCTCTAGACGCTGATTCCAAATCTGCCTTCCAAATCTGCTAAACGGTTCTCCGAACCGTGTTATGAAGCGTAATAGCACAGTGGTGGTGGTCCGGGGTGGCAGGTAAAAGCTGTAGGATCGGTTCCTTTGCAAGTTTGTTCCGCAACACTTCTAGAGACAGAAGCAAAGCAACCAATTGGCAAAGGAACCGATCCTACAGCTTTTACCTGCCACCCCAGACCATCACCACTGAGCTATTACGCTTTGTAACTCCGTTTGGAGAGTCGTTTAGCAGATTTGGAATCAGCGTCGGAGACCGCCTCAGGACAGGATACATTTCATAACGAAAACGCTCACTCGACCCTAACACATCCTCATCCGATAGTTGTGAAATCAATATCACTCTGAACATCTCAGAACGTCATAGTATCATATAGACATAAGAGCCTAAAAGAGATCTAAAAATGGGAACAGAAAAAAGGACAACTAAAAAAACAGCAAATGATAGCACACCCGCGTGTTCTAAGTAATCAGTCCTGATTTAATTAAACGAGCATCTTACTTTAGACGGGTAGATGAGAGGCACTTTGTTAACTGCCAGGACAGCGAAACAACAGCAATAGCGTCTAGAGCCATGAGCCGACGCCTTTGGAGGCACCATCAGAGGAGTCTAAGCTTACATGCAGCAAAAAAACCACGAACATGAGTAAACGATTACGTCTTCACATAACGCCAGGACTACGACAAAAAGAAACTGGATGAACGAAGCAAAACGATCCGCTAATAGATTACTGTTCAAATGCGAGACGACGGATTCCAAGACGAAACATCGAACGGAAGATCGAATGCAATATAATGCGGCAAGTAGTGCACAAGGAGGCTCTAAGACTAGTATAAGTCCAGAGATCTAGACAAAAGTTCGCGACCACCACCGCGTAGGACAGCCCTGGAATAGAGCGGACCACTCCAAAGACGTAGAGCAGTTAAAGGCACCAAAATCAGCCCTTATGAGACGTTCCTGCTGAAGCGTTTGCTGAAGTGTTGGGGAGGGTATGGGGATCCTGGAGCCGCGATGGACTACTTGAACTTGATCGGTATGCGTGGCAGGTGATACGCAACGAAAATGGTGAATGCAGCTAGGAGGTCCATACCCCGCAAAAAGGCCTGTTACCTCGACAGAAGATTATAAATTTGAGGAAGAGAACGAATCAGCAC